TGGAAGCTTGGTACCTTTATAAACTTTCAGTAAATACTAGTTGTGATTGTCACTACCTTCTGCAGTAAACACTAGATACCCAGTTTAAGAAAAGGAAAGGTTTTTACTAGGATTTCCCTACTGGCAAATGAGAAAGCTGAGGCCTGAGAGGGAAGTGAGATGCCTTCCCAGGTATAGATGTTACTGGAAGACTTTGGAACTGGGACCCAGCTCATAACAGGAACCAATGCCTGGGGGAAGAGTACTTATTGGCTGAGCTACCTTGTGTGTAGGTGTGGGGGTGCCAACAGTGTTGGGGAGCTGTTGCTCACAGGTTCAAGAACCAAGAGCCAGGTAGACTTCTTAGAGCTATTCAGTCAAGGGACAGAGGTGAACTTGGCATTTGGGACATCAGCCCCAGCATAAGAGACTTCCCATCCCAGTAACACTATCCCCTACTTGGTGACTGGCTGGCATCCTGCAAATAAGAAGCAGACAGGACTCCATCCAGTGCATACCAGGGGAGTAAGAGCTGCAGAGACTGTTTTAAAACATAATTTTAAATTATAAAAGTAATTACTCAAAAGACTGAGACAGGAGGATTGGTACAAGTTTGACCCTAGCCTGAGCTACATAGTGTGTTTCAGGTCAAAGTGAGACCCTGTCTCAAAAAAAAAAAAAAAAAAAAAAAAAAAAGCATGGTAGGAAGGGAAGGAGAGAGGGAGGGAAGAAGGGAGGGAGGGAGAGACGGAGAGAGCTGGGTATGGTAGAGTATGCCTGTGACCTCAGCACTTAGGAGGTAGAGAGACAGGAGGATCAGGAATTTGAGATCATCTTCAGCTACATAGGAAAATCAAGGCCAGCCTGGGCAACATGGCACCGTGTGTGTGTGTGTGGGGGGGGAGTACTATGCATGCTGTACATTTCATTACATTCATTCATTATCTTTTACTAATATTGCTGAAAAATGTAACCACTTAATGGATAATCTGGAACATAGGAAAAAGAAAAAATGCTTCGGAATACATTTCCCTAATATACTTTTTTTTGAGGTGGGGTTCCTCTGTAACCCTAGCTGGCTTGGAACTTACTATGTACACCAGGTTAGCCTCAATCTCACAGAGATCCACCTGCCTCTTCCTCTCTAGTGCTGGAATTAAAGGCATATGCCCCCATACTCAGCTTCCCTAAAATACTTTTAAAACATAGATTTTTAAATAGTATTTTGATATATTTTCTCTGTGTTTTCCCCAGTATTTTAAAAAGCAATTTTATTGGGGTTTTCTGCTTTATAAAAAACATGATTATTGAGAAAACTTGAAAAGAAGCAAAAATAATAAAGTAAAAATTCCAGTATATAGATAACCACTTTTACATTTTAGCAATTATTTTTACTTTCTACTTTTTTTTTGTCTTTTTGAGACAGGGTCTCCCTGTAGCCTCAGCTGGCCTAGAACTCGCTTTGTAGACCACGCTGGCCTTGAACTCACAGAGATCTGCCTGCCTCTTCTCCTGAGTGCTGGGATTAAAGGTGTGTGCCACCATGTCTGGCTCCCTACTTATGTTTTTTAAAAAAATGTTTTAAGACTGGATCTTCTGGCCGGCATGGAACTCAATATGTAGACCAAGATGGTCTCAAACTCACAGAAATCCACCTGTTTCTGCCTTCTTAGTACTGGGACTAAAGGCAAGTGCCACCATGCCCTGCTTTTAAAAAATACTATTGATTCTTAAAGAATTTCATACCGTGTATTTTGATCATATTCAATCCCTCCTTATGCCTTTTTTACTTTTTAACCTTTATATGTGCTTATTTTAATATTCATGTATCCATATATGTGTCCACACAAACATGCAAAATCAGGACTATCTGAGTTGACATTGGAAAAGTAAATTTCATATGAACTATTTTCAAAAACCTCCACCATAGAGGGGGAGATACTGTCTTCAGTGGTGCAGACACTGGTAAACTGTCCATATGTCATGCATCCTTTTTTAAAGCTCATAAAGCTCATACTGCTTTATAATCTTTATAATCTCTTTTTCCCTATTTCCCAATACACCTACAACTTTTTTTCTACATTATTAAATAATCTTCTGTTATAGTCTTTCTTTCTTCCTTTTTTTTTTTTTTTAGATAGGGTCTCTCTTTTCTGCTGGCCTGGATTCACTATGGAGACCAGGCTGGCCTCGAACTCACAGAGATTCCCCTGCCTCCGCCTCCGGAGTGCTGGGATTAAAGGTGTGTGCCACCACATCTGGCTCTATTATATTATTTCTAATGACCTTTATCATTCAGTTTATTCTAATTTATTTAATAATTCCCATTATTGACCATTTAATTCTTTTCTCCTCTGCGCTCTCTTTTTTTCTTTTCTTGGAAATCAAATCCAGTGCCTCATACACTCTTCAACTAGCTGTACTCTCGACCCCTAGGTTATTCTCTTTTAAAAAAATATTTTATAAACACTTTGCAACTATGTTTACAAACATTCTTAGTCTTTTTCTTTGCATACATTTCTATGTAGATCACATTTTTAGGGTGTAAAATGTATTGCTCTAGGCTAGGGTTATAGCCTGTTGCTTGCCTAGCAGGTATAAATCCTGTACTCTTCAGCAGGGGAAAACAAAATCTATTGTCAAAGAGCCCTTAGAAGACATTTCTTCCTTTTGTATTCCCACTAGGTGTTTTTGTTTTGTTTTGTTTTGTTTCTGATTTCCCCACACTCAAGCCAACACTGAGTATTGCCAGTGCTTTTCTGTTTAACCTTTACCTATTGTCATACCATTCCCATGTTGCTGGACTTTATAATTCATTTCAATGATTGAATAAGATACCACCTAGCAAATCTTATACACTTCTCTAAATCATTTTCTTTGGTTGGGTGTTTAGGTCATTTTCCTCTAAAATCCAATACTCTTTATGCATGAACCCTTAAAATTATATTTTAAAAATTCCTTTACAATAAACACTCAAAATGGAATTCCATGAACTAAAAGGTATGAACATTTTATGATCAGATAAATATCTCCAAATTTCTTTCCAAATGGATATTAAGAATTTATAAACACACCAGCAGTATCCGTTAAGTATCGATGTAGGACCCATCACCAGCTGACTCCTGATTTCCTGCCAGGTGGTCATAACAAACAAACAGACTAGGTGTTTTGTTTCCAAGTCTTTGGTTACTAATGAAGTTTGCATTTCCGGTGTTTGTTTACCAGATGTATGTCTGTAGAAAACATTTTGGTAAACATTGAAAATATCTTCAGGTTCTTTACTTTTTGTTTTTATTTTCTTTTCTTGTTCATATTCTCTAAATATTTGGCGACGGTTCGCAGGTAAAAGCTGGAAGACAGCACGCTAACCCAGTACCGGACCTATAGAAGTCACTCTGACCCCACTGGAGACAGACCCTAAGCAGAACTGACCGTCACGCACCCCCGCGGACCCGGCCCCGCTCTTCCTTCACCACCCACAAAGGTGGGCAGGTGGGCCCTGTTCAGGGACTTGCTAGCCAGAAAGAATTGCTGAGGAAGACAAGCAGGGAGCAGAGTCCACCTTGGGGGTCCCGCTAGGCTAGAAGAAGACATCTGACTTCTACTCCGCAACTAAATTGGGAATGGTGGAGTCGAGAGGGCTGGGGCCCCGGCTTCCCGCACCTGCGGCCCGAAGGCATCCAGTGTCTGATAAAGCGCTAGAGGACTTCCGCAGAGACTTAGGTCCAGCGTTGATCCTTGCTTTATTTCCTCCAGGAATTTGCATCCAGGAGAATTTTTTTTGCAGCGTGCGCTTTGGTGTGTGTGCGTCTTGAAAGCACAATAGCAATGCAAGCCCTTAGCTGGTTAGCCCCAGGGTCAGTGTGCACGCCTGAGCCCAGCACACACGTGGCCGGGAATTGTTCAAAGCGCCCGCGTTGCAGCCCGCAAGGCTGAGTGGTCTCCGGGAACCCAGTGGGCAGATCTGGGTGGAAACGAGCCGGAGGGCCGGGGAGGCCCTGCCTGTGGGAGTCGTGGGGGCTAGGACTGGACAGGAGAGTAAGGGTAGTGCGGACTGTGGCTGCAGGCTGAGGCGTTTGAGGGCTCACACCGGGGGCCCGCACCCCGCCACCTATGCGCGCCGCCCTGACCGCCTTCCAGAGCCCGGCCTGCTGCTGTCTGCTGCTTGACTCGCGCGTTCCGGGCGGAGTACCGGCTGTCCCTGGCCTAGCCTCAGCCAGACGCGGGGGAGAGTGAGCAGGGTCTGGTTAGTGCCAGCGGGAGCGGAACTGGCCAGGGGGAAAAAAAAAAAAAAAAGGAGGATGGATGGAATCACCCGGTTGTGGAGCGCGCTAGATCTGGCGGAGAGAAGGCCACCGAAGGGTCTGCCCCAGCCCGCCCCACCCCTTGATCCCATGGGAAGGATGCAGAGTCTAGGCCAGGAATCCCTCAGCACCAGTAGAAACCAGCCAGGCGCGGGCGCCGGCGTCCTGGACCACCTGCTGCCGCGGCCCAGCCCACCGCAGTATTTATACCGCGGCGCCTGCCCGCACGGCGGGGTGGGGGAGGGGCTGCGAGGCCCCGCCCCGCTGCCAGCGGCCCCGCCCTCCTGCACCTCGGACCAGACTTGGGGCTACAGGGTCCCCACTGTGGCCGGGGTCTGCGGCCTTTGCCAGGTTGGGAGGACTGGCTGCGGGACGGGCTTCCCTGCGGAAAGCGACGTCACGGCCGCTCCTGCAGTGTGAATGAATCAAAATGCCAGGGTGACCGCGGCCTCCGGGGCAGCCGGCACGCGAAGGGTGGAGGGGGAGGGGGG